ACCGGCGAGGCCATGGGCCCCCGAGGAGCACCCGACTCCCGCGCCGGTGAGTGCCACGTCCCGGACCCGCGGTCGGGCGTCCTCGCGTCCTCAGCGACGGGAGCTCCCTGGGACCGTCGGTGACCTTGGGGCAATCGACGGAGAGATAGTCTGGGGGTGGGAGGGGGGGGCGGCAAGAGAGTTGCGTGTGGTCCATGTGACGTGCTGCTGGGGAGAGGGTTAGCTGCAGGCTGACGCGAAGGAATGAAGTTGGGCACTGAGCTCAACTGGCATTGCATTTTTTGCGGGGGCCGGTGGGGTAGGTTGCAGGCTAGGAAGCCAACAGAAGCCCCGGACTGTTTGGGAGAACTGGGGTGGTGCACAGATTGGCTGGGGGTTGTATCAGTCCCACTACTCAGAGCTGAGTGACCTTGGGCAGGTTAACCTCCAGCCCTCCCCTGTACCCCCCCCAATCTTTAAAAGGAGGGGCTTCGAATCTTATGCTGTTGTACTATCGTCTCCGAAGGGCTTCAAAGTTCGGGTTTGCAGGTACAGTATAATTAAGGTTTACCCGTGTTTCTTCTGTGAGGGCTTGCCATTAGCTGACTTCCAAAGTGGTAAGAAAGAAACGCAACTGTTTTATGGTCGGTTTCTGGTGGTCAGAGAGTGGTATCTCTTAATATCCTCTTGCGTGCTCTAAAATCATGAATAAAATCAGGGTACATACTCCTGAGTTCTTCTTTCCTGTAGTTAGTCTAATAGGAAACTTTGTATTTGAACAGGTGAAATCAAAACCCAATAGTGGCAGGCAGCAGCAAATTAAGTGAGTCATTTTTTCAATATGCATGAGGTTGTGTGCGTGTGCGTGTGTGTGCATGCGAGCTTGACTGCACTCACGCCCTCATCTTAAAGTCTGTGTATGTCAGTGTTAGGAATTATTTCATGAGAGTAACCAGAAATAATGCTAGAATGATTTGAATTCACAGAAGTGCAGCTCTCTCAGAAGCCACTTGCTCTTTAAATAAGAGTTAGGTTTGACAGCATAAATATGTTCTTTACTAAAAACCGTCTCTAGGATTTGCACACTGTCATCCTTTGGGACCCTGTCATGGAGTGCCTGTGGGGCGGGGGAGTTGCTCTTGAGACCAGTAGGCTGTGACACCTCTTCTATTTTTAGCACTGCTGGTGCTAAAAAGACACTGGGGCCCTTCTCTGTTTTCTTGGTTCATAAAGTTCCCTCTTCTATGCTTAGGGAAGGGAGGAAATCCCTGTGCCCTTCACATCTCCCTCCACTTGTCCCTGTGACTTTCAGTTCTTAGGCTCTCTTGAAATTCATTCTAGTCTTACTTCATTTGTGTATGGGCTAGGGAGACAAAAATTTCAGTGTTAATGAATAAGCTTCTGCAAGCTTGTTTATCTGAGGGTTTCATAATCTTTAATGGTTTACATGCTACAAATCTGATAACAGTTAGAAAAATCCTTGCTACCCAGGAATTTACTAAGCCCTCCTAACCCTTTAATGAATCACACCTCATTAACAAATTGTTCAGTCTCCTCTCTCTGCAGTGTGTCTAACCTGCTAGCCCATGTATCTCCAGTCTGCCTTTCAGTCTCTTGTTTCTTCTACCCTGCAGCCATACTCCAGCATTCTCCTTTCTCTCTGGAAGCTGACTGAGCCCATCTCTTGTTCCTCCCCTAACACCAAAACCCTCAGAAGGGCTCTCCCAACTCACCAGGACTGGGACTGGCTTCCCCTTGGGCCTCAATGCAAACCGTTAACCCATCACTGACCAAAACCTTCTTGAGAAGGTCAATGCTGTCTGCCTGTGTCGGTACCTTCTTTATTGTCCGGGTCTGAACACACCACGCTTGTTGGTTTCTGAGACTCACCTCTAGCATTTTGAAAAATGTGACCTTTAGCCACAACTTGAATTAGGTTATATACCTAATTGGAGTCATCAAGATGGGCAAGACCTACAAATCCTTGTTCTAAAAACAAACCCCAAAAGAAGAAGGTGGGGGAGGCATGTGGGGAGAGAAAACAGAGCTCCGTGGGTGATTGTGATGCGCACCCAGATTTGGCAGTCACTTTTATTTGATGCTACAAGAAAGTAGCAAACAAACATGAGCAACTAACTTGGTTAGTTGGTGTTTGTGTTGAGGCTCTAATCATTGCAATTCTTCAAGGTCCTCAACATCAATACCTACGCCTTTGTTTTCCTTTCAGCCATTCACATCTTGTTTAATCTTGGGAATTTTTTCCATTATCAAGACTGGGACTTGGACTTGACCTTGCTTAGCTAATTCCTTCCACCTACTACATCAGACTAACCACTAGTGCTATCTCCGGTGCCTGAATTACTTATTGCTCCAGTACTTTATGGCCTCATTTCTCCACATGGGAATCTATATTGCCAGCCTTTTTAGTTCTATTTGGAATCCTTTGTCTTAACATGTTGAATTTCTCATATTCCACTCTTCAATCCAAATCACCCTCATCTGCTTTTTCTTCTCACAGACTGCCAAGTTATCCAGGAGAAAGTCACAAAGCTCTTCAGAATGGTTTCTCTACAAGTTTGTACAGCCTCTAATTTCACTTGGGGGTTGCTTTTCTTAAAAATTTAACTTTGGGCCCTCCCTGGTGGCGCAGTGGGTTAAAGCACTGCACTAAGAAGCCAAAGCCACTTCCGCATGAGTTCGATTCCCGCCCGCCCCGGAGGTGACCACATGGCGTGGCAGACCTCTCCTGACCCGCCCGCTGCTCCCCTCAGCAGTGTACTTCGTCGATCTGCCTGTTCTGCTCCCCACTCTGTCTCTGGTGAAACCTCTCACCACCCCTGAGCCTCTGGCCTGTACCCCAGTTCTGTATGTACAAATAAATAAATCTTTAAAAAAAAAAATCTGCAGAACCATTTAAAAAAAAATTTAACTTTGGACTGCATTCCATCACTGTGTCAGGCTTTTCCAACCTTAAGCCACCAGTCAGTGTCCTTTCAGGAGATAGCCTTTTTCATGGATAAGATCAAAGGCATCAACCTCCAAGTTTGCTGCTCACTACCTCCATATGGACTCCCATCAATCTCTTCTTACCATACACACATTTGTCTTTCTCCATCATTGTCCTTCTTTATTTTCTCTTTCTCAAAGGAAGAAAATATCTCCAATCCATGTCCCATGACGAACCCATTCTATCACCTCCACGCTCTCCATCCTCTGTCCTTCCCCCATCCTCTGTTGTCTTTGGGAACTTGCTCCAAATGTTATTCCCTTTCTCCACTTTCTGTGGTCCTTTCTCACTCTGCCTCAGCTCTCACCTCACTATTCACTGAAGTCATCCTTCTCATAATGAAAGAAATGTTGCTGGAGTCCCAGTTCTATCCAATAGAATTTTCTGTGGTGATGGAAGTGTATGGTATCTGTGTTGCTTCTTGTGGAAGTTATTAGGCATGTGACTGCTGACCATGGGGCTAGTGTGGCTTAGGAACTTAACTAACTTTTAGTTAGTTTGTTTGAATTTAAATTTGAGTTTACTAATCACATGAGGCTGATGGCTGCTGTGAGGGAGGATGCAGTTCTGCACCACACTACCTATTCAACTGCCCGGAGTTCTCCCTTCTTTAACTGTCCACTTACTTCTGGTCTCACCATCACCCTTTTTAAAAGACTTATTTTTATTTATGCATACAAGAGCGAGGGTACAGGCCAGAGGGGCAGGGGTAAAAGGATTCACCAGAGGGAGTGGGGAGCGGAACAGATAGACTGAAATATACTCCTGAAGGAAGCAGTGGGTGAGACAGGAGAGGTCTGCTGGGCCATGTAGGTCAGCTCCCTGGCCAGAGATCCAGCTCAGGCTGTGGCAGCGATAGTGCTGAGATTTAACCTCTAGATCACCACAGGGGCCCCTGGATGGAATTACTTGATTAAAACCATGAAGCAAACACACAGGGTGACCTCAGGTTGTCTTTAGCATGCCAGTAGGTATGAGATCTAGCCTGACTCCACAATCAGGTAGATGTTGATTCAAAATAGGGCCAATTCACACATGTGGGTCAGCTCCCTCACCCCACCTGACTCCTGCAACAGAGAGTGGCAATAGCTTGATAGTGCTGAAATTTAACCCCTTCACCACCACCTTTCTGAGACTGCTTATTGTAGGGCTCCAATAGAGAGGTCCAGGAAGCAGAGCTGAATGCTTTCCTCTGTCTTCTGCCTTCTTTCTCTCAGCTCTGTCTCAACCCTTTCTCTTATCTGGTCTACTGACTACCTGCTGCAACTCCAACCTCCTCCCTCCCCTGACCTCTAATATGGGACTGTGTGGGATCCTGCTCTCAGTCATCTCTTCTTTTTCTGGCCTCCCCCCTTCAAGCTCTTCCAGCATTCATTTCACCCCCTCCCGGTCACCACTAGTCAGTCACCTGAGCCTCACAGGGCCACCTTGATTCACTTGAGCATTGTGTCCTCCAGTCCTCACTCCAACTCTACGAGGCAGATACACTATTGTTCCTGTTATACAGGTGGAGAATCTGAAGCCAGAAAGATGAGAACTTCAGTGAGTCACCACCGGTTAAAGAACAGGCTTGAAAGAAGGTTCCACTGGACTGCAGAGCCCTGCCTCTGACCTTGTTTCAACCCCTTCAGATGCCTTTACAGCTCCATTTCCAGCCCTGCCTCTCCCCAGATCCATTCGGAGCTTGACCCACAAGTCAGACTGTTTTGCCTTTGAACAGTCGTTCATTCTGGTTTCTTTATTTGCCCTTTTACACTCTTCATTTTGGGATAATTCAGATTTGCAGAAAGTTGCAGGAATCATCTAAATAATGCTCACATATTTGTTCATACCAATGGTGCTTGACCCTGCTTGCTTTATCATGTTCTCTCTTCCCCCCAAATACATACATGTACACTCATGCACACATGTGTACACACGTACCTTGTCATTTCTCCTTAACTGCTCCAGAGTAAATTGTAGACATGATGCCCCTTTATCTTCCTCCACCCATACTTTATTGTATATTTTCTAAGAACAAGATTTTTTTTTATGTAACAACAATCAAAATAAAAATGTTA